TCATTCCTGTTGTGGGCGTGGCTGATAATGTTGTTCCCATTGTGGGTTTGACCGATACAGTGTAATTCCCGCTATGGGCATGGCTGATACAGTGTGATTCCTGTTGTGGGCGTGGGTGATAGTGTTATTCCTACTGTGGTTGTGCCTGATACAGTGTAATTTTCAACTATGGGCATGCCTGATTAAGTGTCATTTCCATCTGTCTCTGTTCGTCATGAATTAATCGCGTGTGTGCTGAAGCTTTTTGACGTTTGCTACTGTATTTTTGATACTCAGGAGTGAGTGAAGAAACAAGTCTAAAAAAGGAGATTGATAATTTAAGTCAGTGCTTTTCCAGGATTAGGCTTGGTTGCCACTGGTCTGACGTCTAATCCAGCAAGATGAGCTCTTGTTTGACTAATGTCTGCCTTGTGTCATGAAATCTGCAGTGAGTAAAAAATGACTGGCTTGAAGAAGTATTCTTCGCTCTACATTTCAAAGATTAGGTTGGGTCTCCAACAAAAATTGCCCAAATCTTACTAAATCTGGACAAAACAATCAATTAGCATAGGTGAATTACCTGTATACATGCACCAGTGTCCAGTGCAAACAGCAGAAAAAAGCAGCTGAGTGCTCACAAATTTCTAACCAGTGTTCCTGTTGTTTTGACCCAGCTGGATGGGCGAATAGATGGTCTAGGGGACTCCAGGGAGAAGCTGATGGAGTTCGGGTTTGACTACTGCTATTGGTCTGTTGATCCTGAGGCCCCAGACTATGCTTCTCAGGAGGTGGTGAGTATCCATACTTTTTCATTCTCAAAGTCTAGGTTTTAAAAACCTTTTCCCAGGAGCTCTATTCTGCTGGAATGCCTCCTTTGACATCTGCTCGTCATTACATGACATGTTATGTAGAGAGATTTTAATTCAGATTGATCATTGATCAGTGCTGACAAAATCAATAGGTTGAAAAAGAAGAATCTTATGTCTTGTGTTTAATAAGATTTATCACTTCTTGCTAGTATTGATACCCATCCCCAATATGAGAATAATACAAGTGTTGCATAGATAAATTAACAACCAAACATTGTGAGCTTCCTTGCTTGTTTGACAGAGCAGAGAGAAGTAAAAGAAAATTTAATACAGAGGTAAGTACAGTTCTTAAACTTGGCAAAATTAAACATGACTAAACTATCTTTTTCTAAGTGATTTTTAATAAGAAAACCTGACTTTCTTATGAATTACTTTTGGCAAGTGGGCAGTGTTGGAAGATGAAGTGATATTTGTTTAGTCACAGTGCAGCACTGTGTAACTCTATGTGGCACAATAGCAAAACAAGCAATGTCAGAACGTTCCTTCTAACATAAAGAAACGTCCTTGTATTAGAGGAACAGGTGGCTGAAACTGAGATAGCGGGTGTTGCGCAAGTGGTGGTTTTCCTCACCAAGGCCTGTGTGCATCGCACTGTCCATACCAACAGGCAGGCCTGAACTTGTACTGCTGTCACCTCCTGATTACTGTACGTTGTAAGGTTTGCCCCCAGTGTGGACTCTTTTTCCATATCTGAAAAATAAATCTGTTGGCCTAGGGTTAAAAAAGGGCAGGAAGCTACAATGGAAAGTGAAAACATGGTTACGTTGGGGTTTTTTCTAAGACTTTTATTTGTTGTGCAGAAAAGTTTTAAAATCCATTGCAGCTGAGTAAAGTGCTGACCTTAAGAGCCTGAGTCCAGCATATTTAATAGTGTTTAAATCACCAATTTCTGAAGACCTGGAACAGTGTTATCATGATCAAATTAAAAAGGTAGTGTTTTCAATTAAGTAATCATTTGGATCCCTTAAACCCCTTAAGGAGCAGTGTTGCTTCATTGAAATACTGTATCACCTGCTTAATGATCAGTTGCTTAAACACATCTTCCTAGTCTTCAAACAACAGGTAATTTTGAGTGACCCATGAGAATAAGTACAGTAGGTGGAGATCATCAGGACCAGGGTTAGAGACCCCTTGCCTTGAGTAAATTGTAACGGTTTTATTTCCGCAAAAACACAGCAAGGCTAGTCGCTTCATCTGTGAGATACTGAGGGACCCAGTGGTGCACTCTTTTAACAAAGCGTTTCAGAATTCAGAACTGGTCTGTTTTCTTAATTAAAGACCTTCTTTTCTTAGTATCATGAAGAGGTTTCTTGGCACCTCACTTGAGGTTTCTAGGAAGTATTATAATAGGGCCATTTAGCATTTAAATCCAGATAAATTTATCAGGGATGCTAAAACGACAGACAAGACACTGAGTTTGGGCCTGCTGTTGCCACAGTGTCCCCTCCTCACAGAGCGCACAACGGTCGTGAATGTCCTTGGCAAGGTGGGGAGGACTGCAGGCCGAAGGGTTCTGAATAGACAGATTATTCCAGTCAGCTTAGTTGCCAACATACCAGTCCCTGCTGCCTTCAAGACAGCGATTGCATGCTTTCAATGGCGGCCACACACCCTCTTTGGCTGCTTTGACCTGAAAGTCTATTAGATGTTCAGAGTCTTTGAACATTGTCTTTATTTTATTGGCTTCTTTCTGTAGTCCTGGGCAGTTCTATTTTAGTGTGTATATATTTAATTCTAATTAATTTAAGTGGATTTCAGGGAGTTGAGGTTAATGGGAGTTCGGTTATGATTAATTTTTATTTATACGGTGTCTTAGTGTGACTATCTTTAGTATCCTGTTATTGTCACTGTTTTCTTGAGAACCTTTGTGTTGTTATGAAGTGCTTTAGCTTTGATTCTAAAGAGAGATTAAAGGGGGGATGTACAGTATATCACAGACTATATGGTGTTCTCATTTGAGGAGACGTGCTGTAGATTGTGTGTCTAATGTCTAGGGCACAAATTTACTTTTTGACTCACAACTCACTTTCTTTGTATGGATTAAAAGAAATCTTGGGATGCTTTATCAATGCTCTATAAAAAGTGCAGGTTGAGTTCTGTTGTAGTCCAGGCGGACTGGTGGAAACTGAGGCCGTTCTTTTAGCCTGCTGAGGGATTCCCCAAGGGCAGTGAGATGATTCATGGCATTTGAGATGATTCTGGTTTTCTTGGAGATCCCTGAGTAAATGACTTTTGGTCCTGATCTACAGTGGACATAAAAAATCTACACACCCTTATTGAAATCGCAGGTTTTTGTGTTGCAAAGCCAGAAATCAAGATAAATCATGTCAGACATTTTTCTATCTTTAATGTGACCTTGCAACCAACAAAATTCAAGAGAAAAACAAATAGATAATTCTTTGGTTTTCTGAAGCTTGTTTTTCAGATAAAGAAGAAGGACTACATTTCCAAGAGGACACCCTTTTCTGTCCTTGAACTTTCCAAGTAGCTTGTTTTGAAAGCCAGTGTGCTCTGATTTTTATCACTTAATTTTTAAAGGGGATGCTGTTCACCAGTTTGGATGATTAGATGTTTGTGCATTTCAGTTGTGCCTGGCACCACCTTTCCTACATGCTAATCAGGCTAAATTTCTTTTAATTAATGATGCTAGGGCAATCATGGACAGGGCTTCCTGAACAGTTTTCCAATGCTGTGCATGAGTGACAATCAGGACTGTTCTCAACTCGCATCCAGGGGGAAGCGTTTGAATTAGAGATTAAGTTAATGTGCTTCAGATGTATATGCCCATGTCTGTTCCTCGGCCAAGTGTGTATTTTCAATTCAGTGATCTTGAGCCTTGTCAACTGAATTGTTGGCTCTTTCCCTTGAACCCAAATCAAACCATTTTTCCTTTGCAGATGGGTTTGTTTCTTTGAAAAAAATGAGTGACAAAAAAATGGCACAAAATGAGTTATGTTTGTTCCCCAGAATTTCCAACTGTGGGGAGGGTAAAAAGCCATTCACATACTGTTACAGTAATTGGATAAATTACCAGTTTTTAACATAACATAACATCACATCACTTTATTAGCCCTATACAATTTCTTGCATTAGGAATTCGTCTTTTCTCATACCCCAGCTTGCTCTCCATGAGACACAGACGCACAGACAGGGAGAGAGAAGCTTGGGGTCGGAGCGCAGGGTCAGCCATTCTACAGCGCCCCTGGAGCAGTTGGGGTTAAGGGCCTTGCTCAGGGGCTTCAGTTACCTCTTATTCCAATTTAAGGTTGTCCTGAGTAGAGATCCAGTGGAATAATACTGCATCATGACATTGGTTAAATCAATGGTTCTCTTTTCCTCCATTTCTGTGGCAGTTTTGTTTTTCTCAGCAGTTTGTCAAGACTGTTCTTAGGTACTTTCATTGAAGATTTTTATCTTCTTCCTTTGCAAGAGGTGTTTGCCCATTACTAGACAGAATTAGCTATTTTCATAACGCTTCTCACACTTGGAAAAAGTTTTACAGTGCCTGAAGAAATTCTCTTCAAACAAGAGCTCTTACGTCAGATAAAGAAATAATGTTCGGATACCTCCTGCTGAACAATACGTTTTTATTAACTTTCAGATCTTTCAAGATGTCTAGTACCATTGACCTGTCATTTGGCACGAAACAACTATTTTGGAGAAATACATGTAGAGTCATGGGGTTTGCATACTATTGAATTATTGTTTACTGTCTCTAATTCCAAATTCATTTATCCACTTTCCCAGCTTACTTTGATAGCACATTCTCAGTTCCTTAGTGTGGGCTAGACTTTCTGTAGTGCATATGCACACATTTTGGGGAGAGCTGAGGTGGTCCAAGGTTTTACATTATACAAACTATTATCTTCCCAGAACCAGGGATTGAGAACATCAACCACTTCACATGGTCTTCAGATCTCCCTCCATGGCGGTAAAGTGTCCGTTAATCAATGATGCAGAATAAAAAGGCACTTCTTCCTGTCTTTCAGTGAGGAAAACTAAGAGATTCAGTGGTTAAACTGTAAGCACTCTCTCTAGCTGACACATTTTGCTTTGTTTCAAGCAGGGGCTGAATAAAACGTTCAACAAAATCCCACACAAGGTCTGAACTGAGGAAAACAGCATTTTCTGAATTCTGCTTTTTAAGCCATGCATGGGTCTTGCAAATGCATAGTCAGCAGTCGGCGTCATTCTGAAGAAAGAGCTTAGTGTTCTGCAGCTGAACAGTGCATTTGACAGGGATTAAAACTGTTGTTGTGCACATAACTGACAGACAATTATTGGCTCTTTAAATATTAAATTTTTAGTCAATATTAAATGAAGCCGATGGCTTTGAGAAACCTTGTCTTAGGTGATGGTTACTGAATCGTAACTGCAATAATTTTTATATATTGATGGCCGTTATGTAGTCTCTGCTATGAGCAGAACGATACAATGTTTAAATGTCATCATTAAGGATTTCTGTTTGAAAAGGGTTCCCTCAGTGAGAAGAGTTAGGGAACTCTTAAAGCATGTTCATTGCTTAAATTTAATTTTGGTTGACATTCCTCATGCCTGCTTGTGGTCCTCACCAGAAAGTCCGCTCTCGTCTTCTACCATCTCTAATGTCCTTGAAAAGTTTCCTCTAGCTCAGCTTCCTGCACCCTCTTCTGGGATTGATAGTATCATGCCACTCAGCCCTAGAACGGAGAAACGATTTATATTTACAGTCAAGTGCCCTTCAGAGCTTGAGATTCATTGGAGATTTGCTTGCACGTAATGTTAACCCTCTCTCGACACTGCTAGTGTGATCAAGCGAATATGCAGTGCAGATCTGTTTGAAATAATCCTCCTGATTTTAACAGGATTTTACCTTCGCAGTGCCATGCACAATAGTCAATGCCTTTTTAGGCAGGCTCCAGTACCGTGTGGCTGATGAGCTA